AATATTATTGAAATATCTAAAGCGTTCTACGTCAACCTGTGCATATTTTATAAAAATCCTGAAGGTGATGACATTAAATTTTAGACAGGATTTTTGACGATTATATGTTTTTACGACCTCTCATAATATTAATCAATTTACGTGTTACAACTATATCAAACCTATTATTTACCAAATGATTTTTTATAAGCAGCATTTGTATATACATATATTATATATAGGAATCCATTCCCAAAATATTATTATTAGAAAATGGTCAAACTGTTCAAAGTTTGAAAATCGAATCTAGTTTCAAACGAAATCCAACCAAATCGAATTCGATCAAAAAGTTCAAATGCAATAATTAATTCAAACTCTGAAATAATTTAAGTTCTAAAGAAATAAGTAAAACAGTGCAAAAAAAATCGAACGTGTYACACGTTGCGAACAACAAATGTTTCCTGCATTAATATTTTTTAATTTATTTTCTGTTTATTGTTTACTTTATCAACGAAAATACAAAAACACACGTACACCTTATATGCTGCTTGTTTGTTATTTTTTGATGAAAAGTTGAATGTTTAATCTAATTTTTAATAAAAGTTAAATAATTTCTGTTCAATAGCAATATTTTGCATGTTATTGGATTATTTATATTTTATAACATATAGATTTAGGTACTGACTTTTTGACTATTTTGACTTTCCAAATTCGACGTGAAATGAAATGTTCGGTTTGAGTTCAATATCAACACTGAATGTGAGGTTSGTGTTCGGTTCGACATACGGTTAAAATGTAAAAGTTTAGTTCGACATACGAAAATATCTGTTCGAGTTCTGTCCAAAGCCATATTTTTTAGACCACTTCTAATTATTATCCCTTCAAGATCGTGCCCTCAAACGGAGTTTTCCACCAAAATTCTATAACGATAGTGATTCAACCTAGGCACGTCTATATTACCTATATTATACGACACAAATGTTGACCGCGAACGACCTTAGGTTCTTTTGACAAAGTAACTATATACRCCACACGTGCATATACAGGCATACTTGTCTAAACATGCAAAATGGTACGTATGTATATTATAATGACCGTGCTCTAATGATTTTAAACTGGTACCATTGTATATATTAGGTGTAGGTATAGGTAACCGGGCGGGCATATAACTACTTGCCGTTATACGTATCACACCGATCGACCGTCAAGCTTACATTGTTTCGTGTCGGATATCGGGATATTATATACGYAAGTATGTCGTATACGTATGTTACATAATTATAATATTATAACACTGAATGATGTTGATTTTAACCGAGATTATCYCATAGGATAGGTATTCGACGCACTTAACTGTTCCTATATTATCTATTACCTACAATATGTAATTGCATGTTTTAACGCTACCTATTCTTAACCAATAATAAGCACGGAACATAAAATAAACATAATTATTTTTACTACATTATCCCCTTGTTTTCTTATTTATTTAGCTCACTGAACCATATCGATTCGTAAACGGGATTTCCAATACTTACATTTGTATAGTCGTCTCCATAGTTGCAGAACATTGGTGCCCGGAGGCCAGACTGCTAGAGCTCTGTTAAAATGTATACCAAATGATCTAGAAATATGGATGTAAATCATTTTGGCCAATTAACCATACCTCTAAAACCAAAATTTACTGAATGTGAGCCATTCAAATTTTAATAAATAATGCATTTTTACAATTCATTATAAAATGCTTAAAACCATCTATAATTATTTATTATTAGTTACTTTTTGAATATTTTTACGTATTTTTTTTTTACACGTGTTATAAATAAGATTAACATAATATGGACATAAAATTATTGAATTAAAATTGATTACAACTGTATTCATAAAAATATTCAAAAAGTAACTAATAATAAATAATTATAAATGGTTTTATGCATTTTATAATGAATAGTAAAAATTAATGTATTATTTATCAACATTTTAATGGCTCTCATTCAGTCAATTTTGGTTTTAAAGACATGATTAATTGATCAAAATGACAGTCAAAAATTCAGTCTATCTGAATTTGCAGATATCAAAAATACCAGTTGCTATTAAAAAAATAAATAAGTTGCGTTGCACATGAGGGTACCGAGAGGGTTAACAATTTGAAGTYTATCTGAAAATGTGTATTTATGTACCACTAGCTTGTAAAAAAGCGTACCTACCTAACCTTTATTTTATATACACGCGGTATACCGGTATAGAAAGTTGTAGCACTACTCATGAGTWATGACTATATTTAACTTAAGTGGATATATTATTATTATATCCAACTATAGGATTATATAGTACCTAAGTATATTCAATGTTAGTAATACACGAACTTAATTTTATATCTTTATTAGTTAAGTTATCATACCTATTACCTTCAAAAATAATACTAAAAAATGCACATAATTTCTTCGTCAAATATTGTGCGGCACTAATTTATTTTCATAATTAGCGAGGAAACAACTACAATTTTTTTCGAACTCTTTTGAAGCGTATTTTCGATATTTTTTAATTGCTGTAATAATAACTTGTGCGAAGAACTATGTATTCACTTTTTTTATTTATAAATAAAAATTGGATCATACATCCATGCACAAGTCAATTCAAAACTGAAAAAAATTCAGATGTCTTATGACGCTCAATAGTCAAGAGAGATAAAATATTTTTAAATATCTTATTAATATCTAGAAAATTCTAATATGAATATTTCGAAAACATGTCAAGTCTTCATATGAATATCTGTTTTGAAGTAGATACAATAAAATATTAAAACCGAATTTGTAGTTGATGCTACTTTTACCTACTTCAAACAACTTTTGTTCTTTTCCTATTATTTTAAATAATTGCTGGGAAATTTCTATTAACAACCCCCAGTATAACAACAATCTAAATTCCATTTGCTACATGGCATATGCATATATCATTGCGAAAAAAATACATTCAGCACACTGTTCAGAATATAAGTATTACAGTTTTAAAATCGGTCGAATTTCGAATGAATGATAGCAATTCAAAATTTTAAAAGTACAGACAATTTTAAGATTTTATAGTTTTCATACTTTTTAATAGATGGCTAGATGGCTAGTGAAAATCCAATAATAAGTACACTATTTGTAATATTTTATATTTCTTTTTATAATTGCACAAAATGACCACCGTTTTGAACCCAAATTAATTGTAAAACTATATTTAAATTACACTGGAGAATCAGTCAAACGATGTTTTATTTGAAGAAATATTTAAATATGATACCTAGCTTAAGTCATGTTTAAATTATAGTTAGCCTTAAGACACTTAAAAAATAAAAATGTACCAGATTATACTCTGGTGAGATTATTAATTAGTATCAATAGATTATTAATATAATGTCTGTTGTTCACCTATAATCGTTTTAAGATTATATTCGTCATAATGCGGCTACGCAGGCAAGTTAATGTGTTTAAATCACTTAATAATTTATAGTTTTATTTCACTTTATTAATTTAATAAATAATACAATTAAGTTTAAAATATAAAATATAAAATATTACAAAAAAACACCAAAACGAGTAGCGTTTATTGTTCGTTAATGAATTTGTATTAGCGACCTAAAATGGTAAAATCTTTATTCTATATTTCTATATGACGAGTGACAACTATTATATCTATCACGAAAACTGTGTCCCTAAACTATAAAACAATAGTCACTTTGATATATTTTTAAACAATGAATTATTATCATTCAATTCAATTAAGTCAACTAATTTCAAAACAGTATTTTTCAATATAATTATTTACTTCATAAAATTATGAATTCTAAACTTTGAAAAAAATTGTTTTTGTATCAAATAAATGAAAATAAATAAATCCGTGTTTTTGCAGTTATATATATTTATAAATTGAGGTATATGACATTACCAAAAAATTGCTTAAAAATATTCGCTCTCAATTTTGAATTTTGGCTACTGACACTCAAAATAAATAACATAGTCACTACCTATTGCAGTTAAACATCTTAAAAGTTTCTAAGAAAAAAATATAAATATTTCCTGAGGTTCACTGTACAAAAATAACGTTGTAAGTGAATAAGTGGTATAAGATATAACTAAATAAGTGTAGGTATGAAACCGTTTACGACCGTATATAACACAGATACCTATATTATATTTGATGTGCCGACCGCGACGTCTGTCTGATATATTGACGAAAATATATGTTTCATACATTATTTCTAAAAATCGATTATTCCCATCAAACCGTTCATCTTTTCACAGATCCTTGTTCACACGAGATATTCTTTTATTTTATTCATAACCGAACAATGTACCGTAGATTTATGTTATTATACGGTTTACGTCATAATACATATTCATACMTACATAATGTAGGTTTATAAAATGTAAGAAATTGCTCTACCAGCACTGTAGCGCGATGTTCTTAAACGACCATAATATATTATATAATCGTGGATATGCAAATAAACTACATAATATGATATATAAGTACCTACTTACTACAGTTGTACCTACTATAGTAGTACATTTGTACATTTATTTTGGTAAGAACTAAGAATTTAAGACTTAAATATGATAATCCTTATTTCTCAATGTAGGTAATGTCTATGTACTAAACTATGCATTATTTCAAATTATGAAAATAAAAAAAAGTTTAACCTCGTAATTTAAATTAATTTTACGTTATTAATATTATTTTATATTATATTCATACTCGATTGTTTATTAGTATTACATTTTCATTCTTGTACTAGTGGTTTTAGGAACAAAGCAATTTCTAATTTGAATAAATTATATTAATTGGCTTAAAATAAAAAATGTTTTATGTATGCATTGTACATTTTTCATTATTTAAAAAAAACTCATACGCTTATTTTTAATAATATTCTATGATATTTTATAGAAAAGAAAATATTATATGGATAAGATTTAAATATTAAATCACGAGAACGCACGTTACAGAAATTCTCATACATTATTATAAGTTAGACTTGCCTGCATTGAAAGCTCTTCTCATTCAAACACTTGTCCATACAACCAGACCGTGAAATAGATTTGAAATGTAGTTTGGATGTGACTTTCAGTTCCCCGTGAATTGTATCAAAACTCCACGACCGTTGGTTACACGACTTCGGTGTTCGGACACATATTTTACGAGCAACCGTCGAAGTGTGCGTTGGGTAATGCGATCGTTTCAACGGAAAATCTGAAATGTAAATATTAAATTAGGATTTTCAATCAGTTTTTTTTTACATTTTCGTCAATAAAATCAAATTTATGTTCTGCATCATAAGTTATAGTTAGACAATGACAAYGTCTGTAGTAATGATAGACAATGATTTTTGTCAAAAATATCCTGCTGTTTTTTGTTTTTGTTTGAACATCATTTGAAAACATACAGAATTCTAATAATAMCTAATTATTGTGATGAGTACCTATTTAACTGACGTAAATTAATTTTAATTTTTTTATTTAAATTATATAATTTGCATTAAAACGTATATACAATCGTAGGTAATTTTTTGGTTTTTGGATACGATAGCCTCATAAAAAAGTTTGCGGTTGTGTGCTATATTTTAACTAAAGCGTGTGGTTTTTGAATTTTACACCTGTTTAAGCTTGGTTATGTTTTTTTAGCTCATTTGAAAACGGCCTGCAGTATGGGTATCTTTTTTACCTTAGAACTACTATTATATAATATAATATATTATCTATGATGACTTGAACTCGATTTTTATAATKTTTATGAGCGTGAGTTTTAAATGATTATAATATAAATGAGGAATTTTTTGTAAAGAAAATAATAATATATAGGTAATAGGTTTTTATYAACATAAATTTTAATATATTATAAAAGTKTTGTCAAAAAAAGGTATTATTATTTTAATTTATTAAATAATTCTAACCTAGTCGATACATTTAGGTAGGTACTTATCATTAATTAAACACTTTGTCAGTTATTATACTTTATGCAATATGCACCTTCATMRCGAACAAAAAAAACTTCAACGATGACAATTTAAGATGAGCAAATTAAATGCACGTTCACACATCGTTGTGCAATTTATAAATGATACCTATGGTAATAAGCGATTAACATCATAGTTACTGGAAATAAGAGGCTTTGAATATTAACTCATCCGAAAATTTTATAATCGAGCTCATTCGAGCAGTGGAACTTATCTACCTGAATAAAATCTAGCGTACTCGATATATAATATATATAATAATTGCGCTCACGTGACCAACAGTCTTACCTATATCTAAACACGCTCAAACGTTTGATTCTCATTTACAATAAGTACCTATACTAACTAATAACCATGGCATAACATCGTCTACGTTTCATTACTTTATTATAACTATTTATAACTATAATTTATAGTATGTCTCAAAATATTCTCTAAGTCTTGGTAATATATACTACGCCTATTGATAAAATACACATTAGACAATAGTTCTTAAATATATTCATGTTACATAATATCAACGTATCATTTTCCGCAAATTGATAATGTTTTAGAATGTAAAATATACATCCTAATTAAATTTATAAAATAAATACAATATTTTCAATATTTCTATGAAATGACTACTTGTATAYATTTTTTTTTCTGAATACTTTTTAAAATATTATATTTAACTGATTCAATTAAACCGAGCTACAGTATAAAATATAATATCAATAGATATATAGATAAGTACGAGTATTATAGCTGAATAGCCAAGTTTCGCACTTGTGCCGGTTTTTTTTTTACGACAAATCCTATATGGCCTATATAGGTGTATCCCAGTTTTAGTGTATCTCAAATTTAGTGTACCTTAATTCACGAAAAAATCGGCTTCAGTATATGTCTAGCTTTGTGAAATAATTCAACCTAGATGGGCAACCGCAAGTCATGGATTGGATTTACCACTTAATAAATATTTTTAACGTGGCTTTAAACTACTTGCTCTCTAAACTTTTTCAATATCTCTAAAAATAATCTCTGATGTCTTCGTCAAAATCAATCAATTAGTTTTTGAGCTACAAACATACATTTGGTTTTATGATATAGTTTTTTAATAGAGGCCATATAAATGCGATCATTTAATACTTGATTGTACCTGATCTGCCTGAGTAACCAATAATAAACTAACCATTTTTTATTTATATACTAAATAAATATATACTAATTTATAAATTTAAGTTCATATTTACTATTGTAATTTGTAATTAATGCCAACCATTTAGCAAAAAACAAATTTTCAATTTTAACCTTGAATCTCAAAACTTTTGTTTGAAAGCCACTTTAAAATGTGAATTTTTGGSGATTTTTTCTTAGTGGATATTCATAAAATAAAACTACTTGCCGAATTTCATACGCATTGTTTCGGCGGTTCCGACTAGGCGATCATGAATCAGTCAATCAGGGCAAGTTCTTTTGTATATTATATAGTTAGACATAAAGTCAATCACAGTGATATTAAAAGTTAGGTTATTAAATAATGCGAAAAATTGGCTTATGTAAAATTATAATACGATACTAATTGTATAYATAATGGATATTTTGTCACTATTGTTAAAATATTCTCAATTGCTAGATAAAATATATATGTATACACTCGTTATATCGATTGAATATTCTTTTCTCTCTCATTAACTTATATTATTATTTTGATAATAATTCCATTCAAGTTTTTACTGCACTTATTGCATAAGAATCTAGAAATATATCTAACATATATTAGCTTCAATAAATAAACTAATTTGTAAAATAAATTCGATAGAAATGGTATTTTTTATGCTTATACTGATTACCATAGGCGGAGCCAGGGGGTGTGCAGACATGCAGGGTATGCGGTGGCACACCCTATAAACGCACAGACAATTTAGTATGGAGTTCAAACGTCGTATGATATTGAGATTTGGCATTGTATATAAGTATTATTGTGATGTAATATTATGAATGTAATAAAGTATAGTATTAATTTTTTATTCTATTTTTTTTTTTTTTTTTTGAAAAGAGGGGAACAAAAATATTCGCACCCCTGAACGTGAAGGGTGGCTATGCTGATTACCAAAAGTATACGAAGAAAAAAAATGAAAACATTTATAAAGGATCAATTGTGAAAATATCATACATTGGTCAATGTGTTCCACAAATAATTCTTAGTGAAACAATTGAAATACCTACGAAAAATGTTTATAATTTATATAGGTAACAGCTACGATGTGAAAACGATCCACACGTTTGACCAGTTAAATTGTCTGGCCAAATTTTAAAATCCTGTATTGAAACAATGAACTGGATGGAAACAAAACAACGCTTTACGGTATTTTATTGTTCTACATTTACACGGATAATGCATTTCGCGGTGTGCATCACAGACGACAAATTAATAGAACCGACCTATACCGAATCCATTAATTAATTAGACAGTCACCACTGATGCACTATATTATATACCTACCACTTGAAAAGAAGTTTAAGTGCTTATAATTCATGCCACTTAACTGTTAACCGTAGCAAATTGATCCAATAACTGTTTGTTTATAGGTACAATTCAATGATATATATATACACATATATATATATATAATAATAATTATGTTAAGAAATTAAAACGCTGTAATTTCGTGCTCTATATTTTTATAAATATTTCTTATATCACTTTTTAATTCGTTTTTACTTCTATAATATGTGGAATATAATATCGTAATACTACACGTGTAAAACTCAATTTATGATGAGATACCTACAAGCGCATAACCCAAATTACGTTAAAAATGACTTATATTATTGCCTATCGCCTGTCAAGTGTCAAGTCACTGTGTAACATTATGAATATGTATAGTATATTATGACAATACGGTCTAACGTTGTACGCGTGTTATACATACTATATAATAGATATAGAGCTACATAGGACACGCATAATACGCATAAAAATACCGTATATGGTTAATTGATTAAAAAAACATCAAAAACGGTAGGTACACTACTCCTATTGTATATTTTCTATATTTGCTATATATATATATTTTTTTTTTAAATTAAAATATTGGTCTTATTTTTTAATTATTATTTTTGTAATTAAAAATTTTCTGACATATACAATATTGAAACAATCTCGGAATAAAATACAACATATTAACAAAATACATGATCCAATGGGTGGGACCATTATCTAATAAAACGAGATACGGTTTTCAACCACTATTTATTTTAGTCAACAGAAAAAATGAAAAAAAAGGTGTTTTACATTTTTCTACACACGTTTCTTTAAACTATAACAACTAAAATATACAATATAACTATTTTTCGACGAATATTAAAATCATACATTATTAAATTTTATAAATTATAATATGTATGCGCTTATCAAATTATATCTGACATTTTACATTTATATATTAGCAATTATAGCTGAAATCAACAYGTCTTTCAATTGTAAATTAACTTAAATGTTACATAGATAATTTAATATTCAGTACCTGTAAGCGCTATATCAATATAGCACTATAACATTCGATAGTSYATTGTAACTTTGATTAAGCAGACAATTATTAAGATACATAAAAATATTAAATAGGCATACGGCTATATTTGCCATACCTACCACTATAATATTTTTATCRACTTTTTATTCATAAAAACGTAATCACTACCATTTTCCTGAAAAATCTAATTTTAAAAATAGATATTAAATAACYAATTTTAAATTTWAAAAAAAAACTGTCAACAAAGAGATGAACAAAAGATATTTCATACCTGTCATCAATATCAGATATTTGTGTTCACCCACACTTTTTCCACACTAACGACTAATATTTATTTTCTTTAAACATTCAAACATTTATTTATTTAATACCTGTCAAAATAACTGGAATAAGTCTGTTTTATTTGTGTTATCTATGCAATCACGATACAAATAATTTTATTTGTATTATTTTGGATATTATAGGTACCTGCATAGTGCATGTATATAAAAGTATAGTATTCAATGTTTACATACAGAATTGAGTTGTTGTAGCTGATTTTAGTGTAATGTTTATTAATTATAAATAAATTATAGAATAATATATAAATAAATACTCTATGAACTACATTATGTACAACGACTCAAGCGTGGGTGTCCGTACGACTTTTTATTTAATTTTAATATTATTATACTTCCTTAATTGTAAATACTTATAATGTATTTTGTTCTAATGTTATAGTT